TCATATAGCTAATAAGTATCTGAGGGCACATTTGAACTCAGGAAGATGAGTCTTCCTGACTCCAGATCTGGCGCTCTATCTACTGTGTTGCCTAGCTGGCCCTTTTTATTCATGGTATAGCACTATTCTTTGCTGTAAGGAATTGTATCACACAGAACTTTTAAGCTGACAACTCATACATATGCATGTGATTGCAAGATTCATACAATTCCTGGGAAACTAGGTCCTACAGGCCATTCAATACAATTCCACGCACACCACATACTCTTTGAAAACCACTGCTCTCCATCTCTGATCCTATGGCAGAATACTCTTGTAATTAACACATCCATTTATATACATAATACACATATATGTTATTTATATATATTGTACATATATTTGCATATGTGTAAATATTCACATATATGTATATATGGTGTGTGTATCTGAATAAAACATTTTATTGGAGTGAGAGGCAAGGTTTCATAGTTAATTATTTCCCTGCACGTGCACACGCACACCCAGGTTTATGGCTTCCTATAAACACCTGTCCTACAAACATTTCTGGGTGAAAAACACTTGCTTTTCAAAATTGGAATTAAATTTCAAAACAGTAAAGGTAACTAGAATATTTTATATTTCAGGTCCCTTCAACTAACCTCTTATGTTGATCATCCATCCATGGGTTAGAGATGAACTTGGGCTCTCAAAATCTGTATAAGATGGAAAGCTCTGGAAAGTTCTGTCAACTAGAAAGAGTTAGGTCCAACAATAGACTGTGGGTTTATTTTCCAAAAGTCAGTCTGGCCAAATTGCTGTAATGTTGGTCACAGTGAGAATGAAATAATCATATCAAACACACCCTATTAATGTGTGTAAAGATTGTGATCTAGGTTGGGAATACCAAAACTGGTATAATCATGGATCTTTGAAGGACTGAATGCTATTGAAGATGAAATGCCAGCTTTTTCACAGCTGGGTTGCCATCCAGCCTTTGTAGGCAAAAATGACTAATGGGTCCAAATAGATAATTATGACATATTTTAAAATTTGGACCAATCAAAGTTCAACTTAATTCAACAAATATTTATTAAGCACCTATGAACAAGGTCAAAAAACCTCCTTGCACTTTGTTAATTATAAAATAAATGTTCAGAGGATAAAGGCTTCTCATTTGCTGAACTCATTGGGAACACAAACAAAATTCAGGGAAATATCTACTCCTATGGCATGTAAGCACGAGTGTGCACATGCTCATGCGTGTGTGTGTGTTTGTATTCTGTTAATTTCTTTGGTGGCAATGAAATAAAATGAAATTTAAAAAGCTTCTGTTCTTAATCCAGCTATAGGTCCAAAACTCACAAAAATTCTTGTACTAATATAGCTGGAAACTATTTTAGAATTCACCTAGTTCAAAGTCCTTATTTTATAGGAAAATGAGGTACAGAGAAACTAAGACTTGCCCAAGCTTACACAAAAGATCAGTGACCAAGTAAGCCAGTGTTAGTACACAGGATTACTGATGCACAATCCTGTGGTCTTTCTATCACACCATCCTGTTTCTTGATTGTGTCCAAGAAGCTCTAAATACCTATTGAGAGGAAACCTGGTGCTCTTCCTTAAACACTAATGCTTCTAACCCAACTGCTTAATAAAGATTCTTCTTTGGAGAAGTTCAGCAAAATTCTAACCTTCCCACTTCTGAGTAACTTTAATTGACAATGTGTACAGGAAAATGTCACTGTTGAATGAATGGGAAGATGGATGGATGAAAGAATGAATGAACAAGCAATTATTAAGAGTCTTCTAAGTTCTAGGTGCCAGGGACAGAAATACAGAAGTGAAACAGTCCCTCCCTAAAGGAACTTGCATTCTCCAACACATCTGGGGGAGTAGGTGCCATGGAAGGAAGGTTTTTTGTTTTATTTCTTTTTCTTCTGGGAATTCACATGAATTTTGAGTGGCGCCATAGGGTAGTTGATTATCAGACCCATTCTAGTAGCAATGGTAAGAAAAACAAAACAAAACAAAACACAGTGAACTTGGGGTGGGGTGGGGGAATCACTTGCTTAGTATTTACAAATACCTCACACAATTCAAAATCTGGGAAAAGAAGAAATACTTTCCTACTTCCTTATCTTATCACTGACCTCTCTGGCCTGAGAGTATGAGGCAGGATACCTAAGAGAGTACTCAGCATAGGTGTTGCTTTAAGGACCCTGAAGGCTCTAAGGGTCTATGCTTACTATATCACTTGTGGGCATTATTTTGGGAAATTGTGGTCACTACTGTTTTTCTATATGGAATAAAAATTTCTAGGACTACATGTGATTGATCTAATTGTGTGACAGTCTCATCATCAGTTTGGAGCAGACAAGAATGTTTTAGGGCCAAGATATTGATATCTGCCCACTGGAAGAGCCACACACCATAATCGCCAATTTCAGTGCTTTAACTCTGGCTATTTACCTATGCCTGGAATCTATCTCATCCTTGTTTTCACCTTATAGAATTCCTTAATTCTCTCAAGATGCTCAATCATCACCTTCTATATGAAGCCTTTCTTGATCTTCCCATGTGTTTAGTGGGTTCCTTTAAACACTTTGTTTTTAATATCTATGTATGTATTTTATATGCATATATATATGTATATATATATACTTATCCACATACACATTGTTTCCCTTTATAGATTATAAACTCAAAATCAGATACTATTTTATTTTCCCCCCTCTATATCTCCAGTGCCTAGCATCATGCCTGGTGCATAATAAATGTTTAATAAATGCTTGTTGACTGATTTACAGGAAAAGGAGGTTAAGAGGTACTTATTGATGGCACACTACAGATAAGAGCTGTGCAAATTCTAGTTCAAGGATTTTTTTTTTCCTAATTACATTTGCTACTTGCCTCTCTTGTCTCTCTCAAGTATATTGACATCAAAACTCAATTATTAAAAATATGGAGGATTCACCCTCTAACTACACCCAAAATTAGAATTGCTATTCTGGATAGATATATATCTGGATGGATATATATCTGTCATAAAGGAATCACTTAAACATTAAGTTAAAAAGGTCACTATGGAGAATTTAAGACATAATCTATGATAAGTAGCCACGAGGTTGAATTTTCACATTAAGGAAATCAGTAATAAAGAAAGTTTCATTTGCATTGGCAAAATAACAATTCATTATTTAATGAAACAACTAAAATGGAAATAAGGGAAACACAAAACATTGAACTTAAACTCTTGAGTTTCTCTGAATTTAGGCTGTTTAAGTTGGACTGAAGTGTTTAGCACTGTGGGTCTGCCAAAAGGAAGAGACATAAAGTACTTTTGTTAGTGACTGCTGATGATAGATACTTGAATTCACATTGTACCCTTGCCTATAAGTGGCAGTAATATGTCATTTCCTTTTAGCATGGTAGTTATTCTCTTGACTATGTACACAGATATACTGAATGAATGAATTAAAAAAAGCATTCATTAAGTGCTTCCTATGTGCAAAGCACTATTCCCCTTCCTTCTAGTACTGGGAATACAAAACAGAAAAACAAGATAACGTAATTGAATCACAAATGTTAGAGCTGGGAAGGATCTTCTAGTCTAAATATCTCATTTTACAGATAAGAAAACTGAGGTCAGTGTCTCTTTATCTAACAGCTCCTTCTCTGTAGTCTACAAATTTGCTTATCACCTCCAATTGTAAAAAAAAAAATACAAAAACTCTCACTTAACCTTGCCAACTCCTCAAGCTATCATTTTATATCTTGTATGATGGAATGGAAAAAGCACTTGATTTTGAGTGAAGAGAACTGGGTTTGAATGCTGCCTCAGACACTTCCCAGCTTGGGTGATGATGGGAAATGTATTGTATCTCTTAATCTTAATTTCCTCATCTGTTAAAAAAAAAAAAAGGTCATGTTCATGACCTAGGTCTCAGGGTTGGTTTGAGAGAAAGGACCCTTGAGAAACTTAAAATGCCATAAAATGTGAATTTTATTATTCTTTCACTGTCAATTTCCTATAAAAAAGGTGGTACTCTCACTGCCTTTGCTTCCTCAACACCATGATGTCATGTTAGCTTCTTATAATCTGGCTTTCTACTCCACCACTCTACTGAAATTGCCCTCTCAAAGGTAATCAATAATGTCAGAACTGAAATTAATGAGCTTTTGAAATTGTTGACTAACCTCTTTTAGATACTTTCTGCTTTTGGCTTCCATGACAATGCTCTCACTAGGTTCTATCTGACAGATGTTCCCTTCTATTTCCTTTGCTGACTGATTATCTCCTACCTCCTAACCTATCTCTTGGGAGTTATCTCCCAGGGTTGTGTTGTGGGATCTCTTTTTTCTCTTCCCATTCTCCATTGGTTATCTCATTGGCTCTCATGGATTCAATGGTCATCTCTTTACAAATAGCATGTGTGTATGTATCTCAAAAATATATTTGCTGAATTCTAGCACCACAGTACCAGTTACCTGATTGACATCTCCATTTGAATGTCTTAGCAGTACCTCAAACTCAATGTGTCCAAAATGGAAAGGATCATCTTGCCTTATAAACCCATCTCTTCTACAAACTTCTCTATTTCAAATGCTTCTAATGAGGGTACCTCAATCCTACCATAGAGCCATCCTTGTCTTTTCCATTTTTTCACTTTCCACATCCTATCAGCTATCAAGTCCTGTGTACTCCCCATAATACCTCTTGATCTGTTCCTTTCCCTTCACTCATATGTCCACCAGACTCTCCTTATATTTTTCCAGGCTATTTTAACATACTCCTAAATGGTTTCCCTGCTGCCAGTCTCTTCCCTATCTTATCCACTGACCATACTGAAATAATTTTCTTAAGGAAGAGGTCTGAACATAGCATGTGTCTGCTTAGAAAGAAGTCTTTAAGCCCCACGCGGAGGGGGCCTCACTGTCTCCCTCCTCCAAGAGGGGAGCAGAGGGTCCCTTTGATTTTGGGGCTTTCTTTTACAATCCCCCAAAACCTGCAACTCCAGCCTCCCCTTTGACCACTCGAAGGCACAGAACGTCTGTGAGATGCCTGAGATGGAGCCTTTGGCTACTCTGCTTTCTCATGGTCACCATGCTCTGGTACCTCAACCTCCTCTCCTACACTGCGATTGAGAGCCTCAACTGGATGTATTCCTATGGATACAAGCCCATTAACCGTTCAGAATTTGCCTTTACAATGCAAGAGCAGGTGACTTGCTCAGACCTGTTCCTTGTCATTTTGGTGAGCTCATGCCCTGCGAATGTGAAAACCAAACAGGCCATTCGAGTTACTTGGGGTACAAAGAAGTCTTGGTGGGGACAAGAAGTCCTAACATACTTTTTATTAGGCCACCAAATGGAGCCAGAAGATAACATGTTAGCCTTATCTGTACAAGATGAAAGCATTTTTTACGGTGAAATAATCTGCCAAGATTTTATACACACGTACTATAACTTGACCTTAAAGACAATCATGACATTCAGATGGGTTATGGAGTTTTGTCCTACAGCCAAATACGTAATGAAGGCAGACTCTGATGTTTTTAGCAACACTGGACACTTAGTGAAATATCTTTTGACATACAACCAGTCTGAGAACTTTTTCATGGGCTACTCTCTCATAGAGAACTTTTCAAAAAAACATGTATTTCCTACCAAGAGTATCCTTTTAGGATGTTTCCACCATACTGCAGTGGCTTGGTTATGTGCTATCCCAGAGACTTGGTTCTTCAAATTTGTGAAATGATGGCACATGTTAAACCCATCGGATTTGAAGACGTTTATGTTAGGATCACCCTGAGCATCTTAAAAAATATCCAGGGGCAGCTAGGCAGTGGATAGAGTACCAGCCCTGAAGGCAGGAGGACCTGAGCTCAAATCTGGCCTCAGACCAAACACCTGACACTTACTAGCTGTATGACCCTGGGCGAGTCACTTAACCCCAATTACCTAAAAAAAAAAAGTGGACATCCACTTTTCCCAAATCCAATGACCACTTTTTTTTTTTTTTGGTACCAGATTAGATTTAATACCTACAATTCAAGCACTTGATTGCAGCCCATGGCTATTCTCCCAAGGTACTAATCCAGGATTGGCAGTTCATGCAAAAGGAAAGCAGCTGTTGACCCTCTGTTCTTCTCTGACCAAGTCAAAAGCCCATGAGGTTGAACTGAGAACTTGCCAATGGGGAGTCCTTTCAAAGGCAGTGTTTGTCCTGGTGCCCACTTCACTTTCCCTCATTCAGACCCCACCCTTCTTTGCAGTGGCTGCCTCCTGTGTCATTGTATTTTGTTTTTGAGGTTGGCAGTAGAAGAGAGCTATCGTGTAGTACTTTTCAAAAAAAAAAATCTTAGAAGGAAAATGGTAGATTTTGCCAATTACACAAAAAAGGCCTAAAGATTTGAACATGTCACAGGAAAATTTTACTAGTAGGGACTTAATAGAATTCTTTTATTTATAGTAGACTCATTTATTTAGGACTACTGGTAAAAATGGGTTTTTCTAAAAACAAAACAAAACAAAAAAACAAAACAACTTGATAATGAAAGTTAAAGAAGAGTGTTGCAGAGATGTGATACATGGATTAACCATTTTCATAGTTATAATACTCAACACTAATATTATACTGAATATAATTTAATTTATTTTCTTCATACAAAAGGCTTTCAGTATGGCCCCTGTAACAGACTAAGTCTAATTTCCAAAGACCATGCTCGCTTATTATGGGGAAGGACATCACCTGTGGGTGGCTGCCTAGTGATGACATTATTTTGGCCAGACATAGGAGGGGCAAGCATGGATGAACTGTGATGTCATTGCAGAGAATTAAGGTTAAGGTCTGATTAGTTTATAGAATCCTATACAACTCTCTAATTTTGCAAATGAGAATATGGAGTCCCAGAGAGATTTAAATGACTTACCCCATGCCAGAAGATATTTGAACTTTCCGTGTCCACTGGGTTATTATTATGGTCATCTGCTATTATATTGGTGGTAAAAACATGGGGTTTCATTCTTTCAGGTTTTTACATTTAAATTCTGGATAGACTTGGTACCCTTTTTGGGTTGGAATGCTTCTCAATCAACTCTTCATGGTGTACACTTTAATGACGGGAGATGGACAACTGTAGAATAACCCTTTGGGACTAGAGAATGTGAAAACTTGAGGGCAGGTATGGTTTCCTTTTTGCCCTTGCCTCCCCACAGCCTAGCATGGTACCTGGCCCATGCTAAGTGCTTAGAAAATGCTAATTGGGTGTTATAACATATTGAAGGCCAGGGAGATTTGGACTGCAGAAAACATTTGTTCATATGTAGAGGTGCTGATATGGAAAGACCTAAATGATATATCTTGTTTCTGGAGACAGTTACTTTGCGTTTTTTTTTTTATTTTATTTTTAAAAAAATATTTTATTACATGTACCAACAGCGACTAGAAAGGGCTAACAAAGTTTTTGCAAATAGGTAAGTGACTTGCTTTAGTAAAAACACATATGTTTACAGGCAGATGAACTAATGATCAATGGTTATTTCTAAAGTGCTTGATCAGATAATGAAAATTATCTCACCCTTAGTGGCAAAATTAGACAAAATGTTGTATATACTGTCCAATATGGTCTCTGTACTGGATATTTTGGCTTAATTATTTTGCTTCCTGGCACATAGTAGGAGCTTAATAAATGCTTATGTCTTTTCTTCCTTCTTCACAAAAAAAAATCTTCAAAATGATAAATGCTGGAGAAGATATGGGAAAATTGGAATACTAATGCATTGTTGGTGGTGTTGTGAACTGATCCAACCATTCTGGAGAGCAATTTGGAACTATGCTCAAAGGGCTAATACCACTTCTAGGTCTGTACCCCAAAGAGATCATACAAATGGGAAAAGTACTCATGATGGAAAATGTTATCCACATCCAGGAAGAGAACTATGGAGTCTGAATGCAGATCAAAGCATATTATTTGCTCTCTCTTTTTTGTTTCTTCTTTCTCATGGTTTCTCTCATTGGTTCTAATTCTTCTTTATGACATGTCTAATGTAAAAATAGGTTTAATATAAATGTATATGTAGAGACTATATCAAATTGTACACTGTCATGGGGTGGGGAAAGGGGAGGCATGGGTAGAAAATTTGGAACTCAAAATCTTATGGAAGTGAATGTTGAAAATTAAAAATAAATAAATAAATTTTTAAAAAATAAAAAATGAGTAAGATTTGAATGAACAGACCAAAAAAACTGAAAAAGAAGAAAAAGAAGATATGGACTTCAAAAAAAAAAAAGAAAGAAGTCTTCATTAGTTCCTTCTTGCCTTTAGGAAAGAAAGCAAACTCTTCAGCTTGACTTTCAAATCCCTCCACATTCTACTCCCAAATTCCTTTCCAAGCTTAATTTGTATTATTTTCTTTCACATGCACTACATTCCCACCATATGGGATGAAAACATCAAATTCCATCTCCAGGCCATGTACTTTTGCATGTCATCCTCCATGCTTAGTATGCACATACTGTTCTAATCTGAGTCTTTAATTTCATTCAAAGCTCGGGTCTGGTGCCACTTTCTCTATTCAGCCTTTCCAGTGTCTTCTCTTTAAGAGCATGGACAGTCTTATTTTTGTCTTTTTATCCTCAGGATCTATCAAAGGACCTTGTACTCTGCAAGCATCAAATGCTTGCTGAATTTAAGTAAATGACTTGGTCAAGCTCACACAGCTCATTAGTGGTAGAGTCCTAGACTAGAACTTGTGTCGAGTACTTTTCACATGTTAAATGCATTGGGTCCATGCTTATTTTTTTCAAAGACCTTTTCAAGATCAACACTTAGTGAATGAACTAAAGGAGTCTTCCTAGTGGCCTGGGAATAGTTAGTGCCTTTTCCTTGTAGGGCAATGTTGGGAGAGGTTTTGTTGCTCTCCAAAAGACTGAGAAAAAAACATAAAGTATAAGTTATCCATGGGATCCCTCTTCTGATGATGGTTTCCATAGAAGGCTGCTATGCTTATAGGAAAAAACAACTCTGAAAGATGTTAAAACTCGAATCAGTGCAATGATAAGCCACCAGTTTAAAAGAATGAAGCTGAAACATGCCACTCACTTGCCACTAGAAAGGTGAATTTAAGATCTAGAAAGAGACATGTTTTCAGACGTGGCTAATAATTTGTTTTGCTGGGCTATGAAGATATGTATGAAGGAATTTTGTTTTTCTTTATTTTATTTTAATTTGTTAGTGGGAAGAGCAGATTGATAGAAAAATGCTTATTACTTGAAAGATTAAAAAAAATCCAATAAAAAAGATTATTCTGAAAAAGCTGCACAGTGCATGCATAGGAGATGCTTAATATGCAAGTACACATCAAATGAAATTAATTGTTATGTCCAGATCTTCTGTTCTAAGTAGTACTCCATGGCACTCATAATCAAGCTCTTTCAACTTTAACATAATCCAGTAATCCAAGGGCTCTGAGAATTGGATTATAGAAAGGGTTTCAGTGACATTACAAAGTTAGGAAAAGATCTATTCTAACTTTCATTCTTCTTAGATATGACCAAGTAATGACAGGTACCTATCAAATAAAGTTCTTCCTATCAGCATCTATCTGGCCCTTTCTGAACATTCTTTACCTCAGTCCCATTGTCTGGCCCAGCCATAGTTGATTCCCTATTCTAGTTCCCATTCCCCATTTTTGTTCCATAGACTGTCAGGTATAGTTTAGTTTCAGCTCTCTAGTGAGAATTGTTTCGCTTTGCCCTGAGGTCTATTAAATGGGGTAGGTAAGGAGTTAATGGAGTCATATAACCAGTCTATCCAGTTCTCTCTTATTTCTGATTCATTCCTGCCTGTCACTTCCTAAAATATTGCTTCATGATTCCAGCTTGTTGAACTTTGTTGATGCTTGAAATTTGATTATGACCTTAAATGATGAGATTTTGCTTTGTTTAATAGCAATAATGATGATGATGACAATGATACACTTACATAATGCTTTAATGTACAGTGGAAAGAGCAACGGACTTTGAGCTGGAAGTCTTGGTTTTCGGTCTTACGCTCTGACACTTAATAGCTTCATGAATGTGGACTAGTCACCACCTTCCAGTTTTCAGTTTCTTAATGGATAAGATGAAAGAACCTTCTCATAGAGCCTAGATAATTTGTAGCATTTCTTTCAGCTATAAATCACTGTAGTCAATTGAGTAGAGGAAGTCACATGGTCAAATTTGTGCTGAAGGAAGATTATGTTGGCAGCACAATGATCCATCCATGGTGGGATGGATTAGAATGGTGAGACAATTGAGGCAGGGAGAATAATCAAGAGTCTGTTGCAATAATGCAAGTGAGAGGTAGGCCTAAACTAAGGTGGTAGCTGTGTAAATTGAGAGAAGGGCTCAGATGTGAGAGGCTGGATGAGATGTTGTGAAGATCTGGGAAGTGACTGGGCATGTGAGGTGGTGAAAAATGAGGAGTTAAGGATAATGCTAAGGTTATGAAACTGAGAGAGTGGAAGAATTGTGATGCTTTTGAAAGAATTAGGGGAGTCTGGAAGAGGACAGGGTTTGATGAAAAAGGTAATGGGTTCAATTTTGGACATTTTGAGCTTAGAATATCTCTGGATTATCCAGTTTGAAATGTCAAACAGGCAAATGGTTATACAAGTGCAAAAAAGGAGAGAAACTGGAACTGCATGTAGAGGTCTGTGAGTTAGCTTCATAAATAATAACTGAGGGGGCAGCTAAGAGGCGCAGTGGATAGAGCAACGGCCCTGAAGTCAGGAGGACCTGAGTTCAAATCTGACCTCAGGCCAAACACTTGACACTAGCTGTGTGATCCTGGGCAAATCACTTAACCCCAATTGCCTAAAAATAAATAAATAAATAAAAGATTGACCCCACAGAGTCAGCAAGAGAAAGTTTAGGAAGAAACAAAGCCTTTAGAACACTCACAGGTAAGGGTTATGATATGCATGATAAGTTAGCAAAGAAGACTCAAAAGAAAGGATCAGATACGTAGGAGAACTAAGAGAGAGAACTGTGACAAAATCCTATAGGGGAGTGAGTATCCAGAGGTGGGGTACTGTCAACACTATCAAATATTGGACATATGTCAAGAAGGATGAAGCCTGAGAAAAGACCATCAGATTTGGCAATTCCAGTGCAGTTACAGGAGTTTCACTTAAGTAATGAGGTCAGAATGCAAAGGATTAAGGAATGAGTGAGAGAAGTGGAGTCCAGAACTGAGTGCATAAAAACAAGCTTTTTTTTTTTTCTTTTTAAAAAGGATTTTTTTGTCCAGAGGAGAAGAGAGA